TTGGCTTTGAAACAAAAAACTCCCCTCTTTTGACTTCAGAACGAATGAGCCATGTGCCCTCACCTCCATCCCTCTCTTTCCCTGATGCCTGTCCTCACACAGCACATAACGGGGCAACATTTTACATAACCAGCAATATCTGCTCCGAGCTGGTACACGGACACCTACCTGATTGAATATCACCATTTCAGAAGTGCTGCCTAATCACATTTTTTCAGGCTGTGTGAACAAAATAATGTTTCTTTAATTACGTGAACTCTTTATTTTTGATATTTTAATGACATTTTAGAAGATAGAGCGGCCACTTCTCTTAGATCGGGTGGTATTAATCAGGTGTGACAGCTAGTTATTTGATACATTTTTAAATCCCACTTGTATTTTCACACGAGTAATCTGGGACTTGATTTCTCAGTCCTGAGCCTGTAATGGCAACTTGTGCTTCTGCCCATAACGAGCAAAATAATTGAACCAAATTAGCACTATCTATAATTCAGTTGTAGCTTAGAGGCCTTATTTTATTTTATTTTTTAATGAAATTAAAAAGCACTCTTTCCCCTCCCCCCGCCCCAGGATAAATGTTAATAAATAAAGGTCAGTGAAATCAACATTCTTCATCGTGTCGGTCCAACACATGTCTTCCCCTGGGGCTGCACCCAGCGGCCACGCTATAAACGTGGCAGATCCCTTTCTTCACTGAGCGTGTTTTGTGCCGGAGAGTTGCTCAGACACACGTGGGGGCTCCGTTACCTGGGTCAGGACGCTGGGGACCATTTAGTGCATCTTAGATGCTGTTTGGGGATCACAGAGTATTAACATGGGGTACGACCTGGGCATGCGTTTGTCATAAGTGCAATAATTGTTAATTTGTTTGTCTCTCTGGTATCCTGAACTGAGAGGCCCCAGACGACAGGAACTTCGGAGCCTCCACACCCAGCGTTGTTCTAGAAGTGCTTGTCTAGAGGCCACACTGTTAGTAAGTAAATGTTTTTGTAGAAGGCAAAGTATAAATATTGCTCAGGCCTCTCATTTGACAGAGAAAGATGAGGAGGCCCAGAGTAGACTTGATCAAGTCACAAAGCCCACATACTTGAATTCCATTCACAAGTCCCAGGCCAGTCTCCCATTTACTATACTGGTCTACTCCACAAAGCTGAGGGTCCAGCTAGTATTCAGTTAATAATAAGAGCAGGGGCGCCTGGGGGGCTCAGTCAGTTAAGCGTCGGACTCCTGATTGCAGCTCAGGTCATAATCTCAGGGTCGTGAGATTGAGCCCTGAGTCAGGCTCCGCACTCAGCACAAAGTCTGCTTAAAATTCTCTCTCCCTCTCTCCTTCTGCCCCTCCCCCTGCTCGCACTCTCTAAATAAATAAAAAAACAAACAAACAAACAAATAAATAAATAAAATCTTCAAAAAATAATAATACTTAGAGCAATAGAACAGTCTTTCTCAAACATAAACGGGCATAAGAATCACCCAGGGAGCCTGTTAAAATGCAGATTCTGATTCGATAGGTCCAGGTTGGGACCCGAGATGCTACCTGTCTGAAAAGCTCTAGGTGACCCTGAGACTGCTGGTCTGTGGACCACACTTTGAGGAGCGAGGCCAGAGAACAGAGTGATTAATCCTGCTGTCTCTGGAGTGAGACTGGCAGGGCTCAAATCCGGACTCTGCTACTTTGTGCATTTTACCCATAGGCCAAGCACAGTGCCGCTACTTTCCCCAGACACCATGCTGTCAAGTCTACAGACACCAGAGAAACAAAGCAGGCAGTGGGGAGTGGGGGCGGGGGGGGAACTGAGGCAAACTGGAACATTCGTGTGCTCTCTGGGTAGTAGCTGCCGTCTATCTTGATTTGATTGTTACATCATGGGAACAAAAGTCCTTGCAGAGAAAATCTGCATCACTGATTTCATATTTAGGGAAGAAAAAGATGAAGATAGATGATAGATGATGGATAGATAGATAGACAGACAGGAAGACAGATAGTTCAATGATATCTCTTAATTTTTAAAAGTTGGCAACTACTTAAAACATTTCAGAACATCTTGCAAGCCACCCACGGGCGGGATCCTGCCTCTATCTTGCTACTTCTTTACAAACATGTTCTCATTTAATCTTCAAAACAACCCCAGGAGGTGAGTATTTCTATGATTACCATTGATCAGCAAGGAAACTGGCCTAGAGCCGCTCAGGAGCTCCCTCCCCTTGCATGCTTAGGTAAAGACAGTCCAGGACGCGAGCTGGGACTGCCTAATTCCAAAGCCCGATCACTACACAGCAGTGGCGATCATCACCAAGTCCTGCCCAAATCTCTGTTTCTCAAACGTCCCCTGGGCTGCGGCTGATGTGCCATGTGCTAGCAAAAGGGAGCAAACACCAATAACCATTAAAAGGAGTTTGCAAATCCAGCTGGCCCAAAAGATCAAACTTGTGACCTAGGCCTCCTGAGCGCTATGCTATCTCGTTTCTACCACAGGCTCTGTCCTCACATTGTGTGAAGGTTAACAGAATGAAATAACTAGAAACACCACCTTGAATCTTGGCACTGTGAGCCACATAATGTCCATAGGCCTCAATTCGCCTCAATGCCCACCTCGTTGGGCTAGTGTGAGGGTTAAATGAGAGCTGAGCTCATGAAGCAACTACACCAGGTGTGTAATCATGCTCAGTAAACAGCCACCATATGTATACACAGTCCCTGTTATCTCCAGGGCATCTCCCCCAGGGACCCGAACACGGAACCAGAATGTTCCTTATATGTCAGGAGATCTGATTCACAGTGCACCTTTCTCAGTAGCTAATCAAGAGGAAATCTCAGGCCAGTTGAGCAGTGCCTGATGTCCCAGGATAATGACTTCTCGTCTCCCTCTATTGTCTTCTCTGCCCCCCCCACCACCACCCTACTGCTACAGAAAAAAAGCCTACACACTTGGAAGACAAGACAACCTGGTCTGGATCCTACTGTGCCCCTGGCTCCCTCTCGGTTACATCACATAGGCTACTGGAGACTCAATATTCCCAATTGAGAATGAGAACAATAATCGTTATCTCCTAAATTTTCTTCTGGTTTTTGTGGGAATTAGATGAGATGATGTATGAAAAATGCCCGATACATAGTAGGCACTTTGCAAATTTAAGTTCCTCTTTCCCTTCTGTCCAACCTTATCCCAGAATGTCACCGGGTAAAGAGTGAGCAGATTACACATAACCTACACACGCTCTCTCTCCAGGCTCTGAAAAAAGCTTGTAAAGAAGGCAAAATTATACCACATTCAGCCCTGGACTGGGAATGGAGAACTTAGATGTTTGTTTATAAACAAACATGGAAATGCAAACTGTCATTAACCCCATTTTCAGGGCAGGGAAACAGGTTTAGAGAGGCTAGGTCACTCATTCAAGACCACTCTGCTATCAAGGAGGACTCAGTGTCTCATTTCTCAGTGGGTACACACCAAGACAAGTCATTTTACTTCGTCGGTCAAATAAAGATCTCAGCAATATCCAACCATATAGGAAATTCATATTTTTGTCCTGGCTTTTGGAGAGTCTTCCCCATCAGATTCTTCACCGAGACTAGACCAGGATGCAGCCCCTGCTGAACAGGAGCCTAAGGCCAGTGGCTCGCCCTCAAACGCACTGTTCTCTCATGTTAAAGACAAGTCCTATTTGGTGATCTGCCCCAGTCTCCTTTCAAGCGGGCCTGTGTGGACAGTTGGGTAGTCTCTCTCTTGGATCTAAACTATTTTCAAGTGGCTCAGATGTCCAGGATGGAAAGGATCCTTTTGATACAGATCAAGTTCAGCTTTGATCATTAAACCATTCCCTACTTCCCTGTGAATTTTCACCAAAGCGGGAAACTGAGCCAATGCATGCACATTGGCTCAGAGGGTGTGTGCTATGGGTCAAGGCGGGAGGGAGGTAGGGGCACAGCTCTCTCCCGTAAGCTGCATGAAGACACCCTGTTAGGACCGCAGTCCAGGGCGAAAAGAGGCACTTTAAATAGAGATCAAATACCGCTACCCTTTCTCCCTCTCCACTCCCTTGCAAATAAACACATAAGGTTTATGACTGGATAACCATTTGGTTTCATTCCAAGTGTAGAAATGGGTTTAGAAGACTTCAGTTTCCTGTCTCCTAACTTCCCTGACCACAAATATTTTTTATTGTAAGCCATGAAAGCAAAGGGTTATTTAATAAATTAACACTTCAAATGCCTTTGGTTCAACTCTCAGTTAGTCCTAAACTCAATTATTGGCCTTCTATTCATTTAGCTCAGGCACTTAGACCTGCCTCACCTGTCTCTTAATTCCTTCACCTAGAAAGCTTTAGTTCCTATCCTTGCTAGATTTTATGGGTTTACAATACTTTATTCAATTGCTCTATTGTAATATTTCTGCCCTCCACCCCCACCCCAAATAATCCTTTATGAGGAAGCATAGACACAGTAAGGTAAGCACAACAGTCTTTGTAGTATTTCACAAATTTCTCGTGACCTCAGAAATCACAAAATAATCACATTAAACACGCACACACACTCACACACAACAACCTAGGCCTTTGCCTGCAGGACAATGCATGTTTTTTTATTAAAAGAGGAATTTAAATTCCTTCTGTGCACAGACTGTTTTAACTAGAAAGACTTAGAAAATTAATTTTTGCCTATAATCTCTTATAGATAATGCTTTAAAAATAGTTCCTCTTTAAAAAGCATATTTCATGCAAATATCAAAAAGCCTTTTATCTGTGTTCAAGATTTCTTGTTCTATTTCTGTCCCTTGTTTCCTTCTCTTAGGAAAAGATCAGATTTCGGGGGCCCTGGATCCCAGAACTCAGTGCTGGGAGGCAGAGCGCGGGGC